AACTAAAAAGGAAATTGAAAAGGAGAGCAAGAGAGTAAAATTGTATACAAAAGAAAGAAATAAAGGCATACCGCATAAACATGTTTTGCCCCTGCTTTTGCAGCAAAAGAGTGACCAAGGAGAACACAATTCAACTATGATCTATAATAGAAAATCCCACACACAAAACATGCTAGAAGTCTTCAAGTCATTGTCCATAGTTTGATATTTGGTTTTGAGCCAGTTGGGATGGCCTGGGGGCATCTCTTTTCCCCCAAGTGAATTGACTTCCTGTGGGTGTGGATCATTGAAGTTCAGGGCACCTAGAAAAACACTATAATTTTAAAATTTTGTTTAATATGACCCTCCTTTTTTGTTGAAGATAATGGGAGTACCCTCTTTTTTGTTGAGATAATATTCAGATCTGTTATGATGATGAAGATAATTGGAGTACATAAAAATCCATCTATGAGGGCTACCTTTCTCCAGCCCCATTGCTTCATGTTTTATCGATGCCTACTGTTCAATGTCACACTAAAATCCAAAACTAGGCAAGAGACCATTCTTGCAAATAACTCAAACCCAAAATGCACCCCTACTGGAATCTTGGGTGCCCCATATATATGCTTCCTAATCCTAACGGGGAACCCTACACAGCCTCTTCACTATCTGTGTTCAATGCTACCAAACAAGTCAGCAAAGAGATGCTCTACTTGAGAGTGTTTTAACACGATGAATTTAACATCTGTAGTTGTAAAGGGTGATATTGAAACTCATCATCATGCAAATTAATATTTGTAAATAAGTTTTCACAACCATCTATACTTATATTATATCACAACCCATATCTTATACTATATATACAATTACAAGAGTTATGTGTCTTTTGTGTTATCTATATTTTTTAATTTTTATTTTAATATGAAAATACACACCTCACAATATGATTTTCTATTAAATTCAATAGGTCAGAAGTTGAATATTTGTTTCTGCCCTTGTTAACAAGATCATCTGGTATGTAGGAGGAAGCTCTCACCTTGTGGAAATGCTAAATTGACAGAAAAGCGCCATGGCTTGTTTCATCTTTCAACAAAAGTTCAATGTATATGTTGAAGAAAATCTTGGAAATAAGATCTTGATTAATCAAGATTTGTAATCTCTCTT